GTGTGTGTGTGTGTGTGTGTGTGTGTGTGTGTGTGTGTGTGTGTGTGTGTGTGTGTGTGTGTGTACATATATATTTTTATCAATAAATATCTGTTATAAAAGTCCATTATTATCACAGGCTATAGCAATTCAACAAAGTTTACATTTAAATCCCAGTGAAGAATTGAACATTTCCAATTTTGTTGACGATCTCATAAATAAAATGGACAAAATTGAAGGAGATACAAGGTACATTTTATGTTATGTTATATATTATTACATTTAGACAGATATCAATTATAGCGTGTAAATCATAGCGAACTATATAAAGAACGACTAAACATAGTAAAGAATCTACTTTCTGAGGATGGAGATGATCTTAACGCTATTATATCTCCTAATGAACAACGGGTAGCTGAAGAACTGGGTGTTAATGTCAGAGCTTTAGAATCAGTTCCTACTGCGATTTTCTGCTTTCTGAAAGCACAGAGACGCATAAAAAAGATACGAACTGATAATCCTCTCAGAAGAGTAATTCAATATGCCGTAAGTTAATCTTAAGTTATTAGATGATATTTTTCGTAGCGAAACTTATATAATAGATTAAATAATTATTTTCAATTTTATATATATAGCAAAATATTTAAAAATGCTGTTTACATTACCGTATCTTTGTTATTATTTTATAGATTTCTTTAGGGGGCGATACGGACACGATTGCTAGTATGGCCGGTGCAATAGCAGGTGCTTTCTATGGCTACGAAAAGTTCAGCTTACTGCTCTTATCGCATTGTGAAGAATGGGAACGATTTCAAGAAATAGCCGATAAATTGCTGGATATAGCAACATCCAATGAGATAAATAAACAAATAATGTATATTTAAAAAGTGTGTATAAATATTATATGAAAAATCATGGGAAAATTTTTATTGAAACGGTTTTTAACTTAAGTATATTATTATTGACAACTATAATTAATTACTAAACAATTTTATTAGTGCAGGAGATTGCATATTCAATATTTTTTTATTTTATTAACATTATTTCTTTATAGGTTTCATCCAACAATTCTCTCTCTCTCTCTCTCTCTCTCTCTCTCTTTCTTTCTCTCTCTACATAGATGACATATTTCATACTAAATATCAATTTATAATTATAACATTTTATTATTTTATATTGTGTTATTTTATGTATTTCACATTCTCTTTTGTCTACGTGTTATTAACATATTTTATTTTTTATATATAAGAAATAAAGAATACATCTGGTAACTGAGTTATTTGGAAAATAAATCCGTATGACTAGTATTCATGATTTATCGTAATACTATTGTTTGCTACAAAGTTGAACTTACATTACTTATATAATCGCACTTGAATTAGACTTACAATAAAAGTAGAAAATAATATCGTAAGTAAATAATGGGGAGGGGAGAGACTTGTCAAAAACCGTTTGAATTCTTTCGCTTCAATCGATTCTGTTCTCTCATCAATCACAGAGATTTTAAATATAAGTATGGCCGCATGATCAGTCTGTAACTCTATCGAAGCACACTGTTATAAGTTTGTTGTACGCATACGTCAATAATCCAATTTAAAAAATAATTGTATATGGCAATGATATTATAAACGATGTCTTATACGAAGTAAAAATAAAAATTTACCAATTGATCATCAATATAAAATAATTTTTGTTTTTTTAATAACGTCATATTTTTATCGCATATATAAGTTAATTTCAGAAACTTTTTCCCTAAAGTATCCAACTTATGATCACATTTGTATTCATTGCGAAACAGATAGACATTTAGATACTCTCAAAAAGAGACTCTAGATAAATAAGAAAGATAAAATTTTCAAAAATCAATTGGAGGTATCAGATAGATAAATAACTCTAAATCCGACTTATAAAATAATATTATATATCCTTGAACGTCAACTCTTGGATTTTCAGCCGCAGCTCTACGTACTACGCAAAATACAAATAATTAATTTAAAGATTGTAATATACTCTGAACAACAAATATGAACACAACGAAGACGTCATAATAACACTCAATAGGTCTCGTATTTAGAATAACATAGACAATACTCTCGAACATTTTAATTATAAGAAATGTTTGGGAAAGGCGCTTATGAAGAAGGTACGTTATAGTTGAACCATTAATAATTCATATGCATACAAAATAAAGTTTTTTTCTCCGACGATCAAATAAAAATTTTAAAGTTTCATTTCTTTGTAAAATATGTAAAATACATTGATAAATGCATAATCTCGTAATAGCGTCTTTACTTCGTCTAACAACTGTAGCGAAAGCCTACTGTTGTAATAGCAACAGATCTTGCGCAAAATTGCGAGAAGATAAAATATCTTCCCAAATATATATATAACAAAACAACAAAATATTATTTTATAATAATAATAATAATGGAAGTGGCATAAAACATGTTCTCAATTTTCATGCGCGATTTCTTCATTACTTTGAAATAGTCTCGTCGATAAAAATTCGTCGGAGATGTAAATACTCTCTAAAAATGTTAAAAAAACGTTCATTTCAGTATTTCAGTCTCTCTATTATCTTCAAAAATATTACCTATGTATATAAATTTCAACTAGCTGACGTCACCGCATGATACGTTTAATATTTCGACAATGATAGAAATTATTTGTGTCTTTTTGCATTCGTAAAAATATTAAGCAGCATCTAAGTATCTACAATTTATAAATTCTATTTAATTATGCAGTTATACTGAATATCTTTTGGGGATTTGACTTGATCATCATGTAGATAAACCATGCGTGTATATTGTTATTTTTTAGACGATCATTAGATATTCTTTAGGCTTTTTAATATGCATTATTTCATATCTTGAATTCTCAGGCAGAATTTGTAATCGAAAAATAAAATGATGCAGAAAGACCGAATACCTTTTCGAAAAAATTTGGAAGTTCTGCGATTATGATTCTATGGTGCAGTTTAATCAAAGACGCAAGCTAAAATTCGTACAAGACAATTTCCTATTCTAGCGCATGCTCTATGTCCTTGACTAGCACACTCTCTTCTTCTATTTTTTCGATTGTCTTGTCGTTCTTTTTTACCCGGCCTTAACATGTTGCAATCCTGATTCTCGCCTTTATATGCGATCCTAGGCGCATTGGACAACCTAGATGGATGGACCGCTGCGCTGCTCCGAATCTATAAATTTATAAAAGAAAATTTTCTGTTTATTATCTTCCAGCTTTATTATCTTCTACGATCAATATTATTATTAAATGTGAAATTAATCGGACATAAAATACGAAACACAATAACAGGCACACAAAATGAAAATTTACGTATTTGATTGATATCTTTACATAATAGTTTTAGAAGTTTAGACAGATAGAATAATGAAGAAATTTTCGCTCGATTAGAAATACGCATACTTACGCTCTCATTTTTCGGATCCTCAGGATGTCTGAGTATTTTAGAAACGATATGAACACATTCCTCGTTAGTCAAGATACCACTCGCCATAGGACCGCTGACGAATTCTCGGTCATTCATAAGAAGATATCGCACACTGAAGCAGACGTCATCCGAGAGCACGGCTCTCTTGTTAACTGGCAGAGGTTCGACGCCTTGTCTTCTACACTCGGCTGCGGCCCATCTATCTAACGCATTGAAGAGGATAGACTCGCTAGTGATATTCAAAGTGTCGCGATGTGCTAACTGGGCGACTTCCTGGGCACTGAGCTCTTCAAAATATTCCTGATGCAGCACCTTTATTGGATTCGAATCGATTACAGTCAAGCACTTGAGCAGAAGATCGGTGCACATAGCAGCTGCAATGTGAATGAATTATGAATCAATTTTTCCGTACCGTTCAAATACTTTAGTACCAATCATTTCATTTTTATTCATCTACGCAGCCGCAAAATTGTTTCCAAAGAGATCAATGGCGCACCTATTATACTGGCATCATCTCCAGGCGGTGATGGTGTCGATGGCAAATTTGACGATCTGTCAAAATCTGAATCACCTTCCCGTAGCTCGTTCGCATAAAGTCCAAGACCCTGATAAATTTCGAGCACGGTCGATGGTGTAAGATGCTTCTCAAGATACACTACGGCGAGTCGCGCGAGTCCAGGACAAAGGTACTGATGAGCTGCATCGAGCGTAACCCTGGCCGTTGATACTGATATAAAATTGACGGGCTCGTCATGAAGATATCTATATAACAAAATGAATCGATAGAAACAAAATATGTATGTTATGAAGTTTAAAAAAGAGAATTATTCTCCTATCTATATATGATTCTATTGCGTTTCTCAGCATTGCTGTTTATATTTTCAGAATTTTATTTTTGAACGCTCATATTCGATAAAAAAATATTAAAAATATAAACATATATTAAACGTATAAACATATATTAATTATTCTTAAAATTGTGGATTAAAAATTTTTTTTTGTTTTAAAGCTGCTCATTTTATACATTGTTTTTTTGTTGTGCATTTGAATAACAATAAGATATGACGGGCGGTATTAAAGCTTATGACATCTTAAGATTGTATTTAAGACAAATATAAAAATCAATTATTCTTATATATCTCAAATATAAAAATCGATTGTGAATATTGGCCTTAGTTTCTGATAACTGTTTTAGTAAATGTGAGGAAGATACGAGGTAAATGGAAAAAAGAAAGTGTGATAATACCTGTTAAGAAAGTAAGAAATAAGGAAATGAGAATAAGAAAGGCAAATAAGAAATATTCTTTTAGGTACATTAGGAGATAAATTAAAAATTATTGAACCAAAACAGGAGATAACATTAAAAACTATACAATAATGAAAACTAATAATAATGAAAGTTATAAAAAAATAAAATGTTTTTTTTTATTTTATATTTTCTATTTCCGATAGTACTAATTTACAAAAACAAGAAAATATAATGACACTTAAACTTAACTCGGCTGTTTTTTTATTTTTATAAAAATATAATTAAAGAAATGTTTTGTTATAAGAATAATGTTTCATATTGTGTATGTACAGAGTGTCCAGAATTTAAATGTCAAAATTTTAGGAGCACATAGCGGATAAACTAAGAAAGTCTTGTAAAGATAAGCTTGTTGTATATTTAATTTTCGCTATTCAAGAAAATAAAATCTCAAAAAAATTTTTAATGTTCGATACCATTTGACCTTCTCTTATAAATTTTTTTATTTTTTTATTTTTTATAAGAGACAATGCAAA